TGTGTGTGTGTGTGTGTGTGTGTGTGTGTGTATGTCTGTGTGTGTGTGTGTGTGTGTATGTCTGTGTGTGTGTGTGTGTGTGTGTGTACATGTGTATTTGTGTATTGTAGCTCCACGAGTTGGATTTGTCTCTGAAATCAAGACCAACATGAGGCTGGGTGTGTCTGTTCTCAGTCTTGGACCTGACAACACTGTGCTGGTAATGGCGGGATCGGGGTCGGGGTCGTCCCTGAAACGAACATTATTTCTTTGGTTGCCGGGGGTGGGGGGCTGAACCTAGATAGCAAGTCGACCGACTCTGTATATGTGCATGCGGCAGTCAACTTACGTGGTCCAGCATAGCAAAGTGCGTTCGTTTCCGAGGAGAAGTCAGAGTATTTGATGCATTGCACTTGATGCGCTTGGTACATTGCACTACAATTCGAAGTACGTGCATTTTCATATTCGGAGCATAGTGCGCACCTGCGATTTGGGGAGTGAAATAGCACATCTAAAGTGCGCACTATACTCCGGCAAGTGCAGTACATGTTTATACTAGTGTGCAATGTAGTGCCGGCCGTCACTTTGGGGCAATCTTGTTCCCATCACCGTATTGCTGCTGCTGCTGCTACTGCTGCTGCTGCTTTGGCGGGTCAGAGCTACTATCTAATGACATTGTCACTGTTGGTGATCTGTTGGTGATCTGTTGGTGATCTGTTGGTGATCTGTTGGTGATCTGTTGGTGATCTGTTTTGTTTTCTGAATTGTCTGCACATGTGACTACTGTAGGTTTGTGCTAGTCGTTATGGTATGAGCCTGCCGTGTCTGCCTGCCAAAACCACCCAGTTTCAAAGCGGCACTTGCTTTGGGAACGCCAACCTTACTCTCCTGTACAACAACGTTGGCAAATGTGTAATCCTGCCGAGCAACCTTCAGCTGAACGGAACGCCTCACGACTATGCACCGGAACTTGTCACATCAGTCTCACCCGAGCTTGAAGGTACGTTTCACAGATTGCTGATTCCTAGGTTGTCCTGTTCAGAAGGGCTTTTTACATTAAAAAAATATTATAACATCTGTTTGCGTGCATCCTGGATGTGTGTGTCCTGTGTGTGTGTGTGTGTGTGTCCTGTGTGTGTGTGTGTGTCCTGTGTGTGTGTGTCCTGTGTGTGTGTGTGTGTCCTGTGTGTGTGTGTGTGTGTGTGTCCTGTGTGTGTGTGTCCTGTGTGTGTGTGTGTGTGTGTGTGTGTCCTGTGTGTGTGTGTGTGTGTGTGTGTGTGTGTCCTGTGTGTGTGTGTGTGTGTGTGTGTGTGTGTGTGTGTGTGTGTGTGTGTGTGTGTGTGTGTGTGTGTGTGTGTGTGTGTGTGTGTGTGTGTGTGTCCATATGGTGCATTGGTATGTGCAGTCGATTTCCAATCGAGAGGTTGCGGGTTCAATTCCCGACGATTATGGTCGCACACGTCTTTCTTCTCTTTCTCGGACTCTTCCTGACTTTTCTTTCATTCTCCTGGGTGGTTACCAACAGCCAGTGTATGCCGGAGTATGTGGTGTGGTGTGTGTGTGTAGAAAAAAAAGAAAAAAAAGAAAAAAAAGAAAAAATGGAAAAATGAAAAATAGGGATTCACTGGCCAGAAAAAGTCACTTCAATCAGCTGTGTGGTGGATACCAGGCTAAAAATAGTGGCGGTCAATTCATCAGCCTTGCAAGCTGTTGAATGGTGTAATCCCAGCACAAGTTGCTATGTCTAACATAGCTGTTCGCTATCATCGCTTCCGCGATGGGCAGGTCTGAGGTCTGAGGTGTGTGTGTGTGTCCTGGATGTGTGTTTGCTCTCTTTAGATTTCTTTGCGAGGGTATATATCAGCTCGGATTATCAGAAACAAATTGGCTGGGGAGGTGGCAACACTGCCTCCATGGGACTCACACTCTCTGCACGGCCAAAGGTACGCACACGTCATTCGCTATTCACTTTGCCCCGATGTTGCTCCCTGAAATACGTTTTCATGCGTGCTAAACTGTTACACTTGCAGCACTTGTAAAGTTGACCTTCCTTTCATCCTCCTTTGTGTTCTTAGAGGTTCATGTACTGATCCTTTGTTTTAGAGGCACTGCAGCAGGCCCGCGGGAACCGGTCCGGTTGGTCAGTTAAACATCGGACCAACTTTGTAGCTACCCACACATGTTTACTGCTGAGGAGTGCATATGTCCCCAGACTCCCCGCCATGTTATACACAAACTGTATGAAAGACAATAGTACGACCTGACACATTGAAAACTGCTTCCGGCAGTCCTGTGCAGCAGTATCTTTGCTGCAATGCTAGACACAATTCATTTCTGTGACGGACAAGAAAACTCCGCGGAGATGGCAGATATTCTTGATGCCAACTTTCTACCGCTTGAAAACAAATACAAATGTGAGGGTAACAAGTCCCAGCGGCTCGTTTCAACTGTTCACACATCAACATGTACGCAGCAGAAGATTTCCGGGTTTTCAAATTCTTCCACCTTGCGGGATTGATAAAATGGATTTTGCAAACGTTTCTTTTTCTCTTTGTGCTACTTCCTTGCTTGTGGCTTTTCCACAGGATCTAAGCAAGCGCTTCCCGCTCGATGTAGTCAACTTCCATTCTCCGAATTTTCTGTATGGCAGAGGTCAGTGTCATTTCTGAAAATCGTCATCATCGTCATCGTAGTTACCCCTTATGTAGAAAAAGCATCTGCTGCCACCAATCTCTACTCTAACGATTACCATTTTGTTGTGTTGGCTTGTTGACAGTAATGCATAATAATGCTTCTTTGTCAAACCGGTAGCCATGAATAAAAGCCGTGCTTACATTCCGAAAAAAATACGGTACTACAGTCGTCGCCGAAACAAACCGGCCAATGCTATGCTAACCGTACAGTACATGGGCTGCATACAGTACCACCACTTCTACTAGCCACTACTACTGCTGCATGTAGTGTACTGCACATGCAGAGACTATGCCCTGCTGCCGAGCCTGCATACACTCAGTGCATTGCATGCTCGACTGCATAGTGTACTGCACATGCAGAGACTATGCCCTGCTGCCGAGCCTGCATGCACTCAGTGCATTGCATGCTCGACTGTATAGTGTACTGCACATGCAGAGACTATGCCCTGCTGCCGAGCCTGCATGCACTCAGTGCATTGCATGCTCGACTGTATAGTGTACTGCACATGCAGAGACTATGCCCTGCTGCCGAGCCTGCATGCACTCAGTGCATTGCATGCTTGACTGCAGAATGTTTAGTGCTGCGCTATACTAGTACAGAGTCAGCAAATACATGCATACCGCCATGAGTCAATGAAGTACCGTCGGTGAACGTGTACCATGCCGCTGTATCCATGGTATCGGCATTGACTGGGTTCGTTTGGCGATGACTGTATGTGCGTGTGTGTGTGTGTGTGTGTGTGTGTGTGTATGTGTGTGTGTGTGTTCGTGTGTGTGTGTGTGTGTGTGTGTGTGTATGTGTGTGTGCGTATGCGTATGTATATGTGTTTGCGCACGCGCGTGTGTTTGTGTGTGTGTGTGTGTGTGTGTGTATGAGATAATGCAAGGCATAACATGTTGCTTCTTGTGCTTGTTGTCACTGGCAGGGCGAGTGATACACACGGACATGAGCACCGGTGTACCGACAAACGTCACTCAGAAAACCTTCATTTCATTTCCCAATGCCGATGCTGCTGCAGGCATATCAACGGCAGAGGGCAATTTTAGCGGGAACGCAATCCGTAAGTGGTCACATGAAAGTAAAGTAAAAGTAAATTATGGTGTCCGTTCCCGAAGGGAACTCACGGCGGCCGCTAACACCCGGTAAACCCTAGCGGCAGATGCAGCGCCTAACGGTGGGGGTGAGCGGATAAGACTCACAACGACTGGCACAAGTGCCGAAAACGACCCCATTAGCCGCATCCATGCACCCCTTGTGCCTGGCCGCAAGTTCCCAGTTGACTGTGGGTAGCAGCACGGCTGGGAAACTGCTCCCAGGCAGGACTTGAACCAGATACCTCTCGTATCTCAATCATGGTCTTTGACCAACCCACACTCAAGATCACGGCCCCGTTGGCGCTTCATTTTGCTTGACATCTGCAAAATATCTTCAAATTCTTCGAGACCCGTTCTTGAAGAATCCCAGCATCTTCGACTTCTCTTTTCTTCTTCTCCTAGAAGCTAGAGAATTCAAGAACACACCCTTCTTTTACAGTACAGGTAGACTCCCTTTAATTTGAACCTAAAATTGCCAGGCCCCAACTTCGAATTATTAGGAACTTCGAATTATCCGAATGCAGTCCAATGCACTGATAGGTACGTCAAAGTGCTCGAAATTGCGTGCTGATTAATATTATTTTCGCACATTTTTTTCGCATCAACGAAACATAGGTGGTAATGTACAATGGACTAGGCCATTTTATTTTAAAAAAAAACACTGGATCGACACAGTCATTTGACATAATATTATCTTGATCTTCTAAGTGAAGAAGTTGTCTGGCACTGCAGCTGTCCTGAAACAATTTCAACGGAAAGACCAGCGCCGCCTAATCCGCGTCATGAAAGGCCGTCGGACAGTAGCACGTCGTTCTGAGGAACGGAAGTGGAGCACAGGCAAAGACAATTTTTACGACTTCCAGTCAAGAGTGTTGTTGTTCGCAAACATCTCTGCGCACGAGCTGGCGCAGCATGGAAGGCCACTGAGATCCCCATATGGAGTCAGCCACCTGGAAGAAGTTGTGCTCAATCAAATCTTTGCACTTTGCCTCGCACGGGCTTGAATCAAATTGCGAGAGAAGGTGGGTTTCTTGAACGCTACTGTCGATCGGATCAATTTTTGAGCTACTCCATCTCACCTCGAAATAAGCGTTGGAAGGACATAGTCACTATACTGTAAACTGCTCTTCTATACGAAGACTGAGTTCGAATTATCCAGTCGGTGCAGGTTTTGTACTTCGAATTACGCATTCGAATTCGACTTGAAGTGACTTGCAGGAGATCGGTACGACGAAACAGTTCGAATTACACGGAATGTTCGAATGTATACCGTATTCGAATGTATACCGTATTCGAATGTATACCGTATTCGAATGTATACCGTATTCGAATGTATACCGTATTCGAATGTATACCGTATTCGAATGTATACCGTATTCGAATGTATACCGTATTCGAATGTATACCGTATTCGAATGTATACCGTATTCGAATGTATACCGTATTCGAATGTATACCGTATTCGAATGTATACCGTATTCGAATGTATACCGTATTCGAATGTATACCGTATTCGAATGTATACCGTATTCGAATGTATACCGTATTCGAATGTATACCGTATTCGAATGTATACCGTATTCGAATGTATACCGTATTCGAATGTATACCGTATTCGAATGTATACCGTATTCGAATGTATACCGTATTCGAATGTATACCGTATTCGAATGTATACCGTATTCGAATGTATACCGTATTCGAATGTATACCGTATTCGAATGTATACCGTATTCGAATGTATACCGTATTCGAATGTATACCGTATTCGAATGTATACCGTATTCGAATGTATACCGTATTCGAATGTATACCGTATTCGAATGTATACCGTATTCGAATGTATACCGTATTCGAATGTATACCGTATTCGAATGTATACCGTATTCGAATGTATACCGTATTCGAATGTATACCGTATTCGAATGTATACCGTATTCGAATGTATACCGTATTCGAATGTATACCGTATTCGAATGTATACCGTATTCGAATGTATACCGTATTCGAATGTATACCGTATTCGAATGTATACCGTATTCGAATGTATACCGTATTCGAATGTATACCGTATTCGAATGTATACCGTATTCGAATGTATACCGTATTCGAATGTATACCGTATTCGAATGTATACCGTATTCGAATGTATACCGTATTCGAATGTATACCGTATTCGAATGTATACCGTATTCGAATGTATACCGTATTCGAATGTATACCGTATTCGAATGTATACCGTATTCGAATGTATACCGTATTCGAATGTATACCGTATTCGAATGTATACCGTATTCGAATGTATACCGTATTCGAATGTATACCGTATTCGAATTCGAATTAGAGGGAGTCTACCTGTACTATGTCTTGTGCGCCTTCATCCATAGAGGGTGGGGGAAAACCCTTCATCCATAGAGGGTGGGGGAAAACCCTTCATCCATAGAGGGTGGGGGAAAACCCTTCATCCATAGAGGGTGGGGGAAAACCCTTCATCCATAGAGGGTGGGGGAAAACCCTTCATCCATAGAGGGTGGGGGAAAACCCTTCATCCATAGAGGGTGGGGGAAAACCCTTCATCCATAGAGGGTGGGGGAAAACCCTTCATCCATAGAGGGTGGGGGAAAACCCTTCATCCATAGAGGGTGGGGGAAAACCCTTCATCCATAGAGGGTGGGGGCATTCCTACGAATGTTCATCCATAGAGGGTGGGGGCATTCCTACTTCATCCATAGAGGGTGGGGACATTCCTACTTCATCCATAGAGGGTGGGGGAAAACCCTTCATCCATAGAGGGTGGGGGAAAACCCTTCATCCATAGAGGGTGGGGGAAAACCCTTCATCCATAGAGGGTGGGGGAAAACCCTTCATCCATAGAGGGTGGGGGCATTCCGACGAATGCGGAAAACTCGGCCTCCAGCTGAGTCTCACGCGACCGAACCGTGAACTTTCTCTTTTTTTCCCCTGTGCATTTCTGACTATTCTGGTTCCCCCAGGAGTGGCTGTGGCTCGGCCCTTTCTATCCTGGACTACGAATATCTACTGCAGTTCAAACTGTGGAGATGCAATGCAGGGAGATGTAAGTCTACGCGTCTCCTGGCGTGTCTTTACTGTGGCCCTTTCCAAACTTTCTCCGATCCCTTCCATTCTGTTTTCAGTCTATGGCGTGGTGCTGGGTAGTTGTAGAATCTCTATTTCCATGACAGTGAATACTAAGAGGGAGGTAGTGTGTACGTGTGTGCTTGTAGGCATACAAGTGTGTGTGTGTGTGTGTGTGTGTGTGTGTGTATGTGTGTGTGTGTGTGTGTGTGTGTGTGTGTGTGTGTGTGTGTGTGTGCACGTGTGTACGTGTGCGTTGACGTGATCAGTTGCTGTTGTTCGAGTATCATGTCATCTGCATGCATTTATAATGTCAGACGGGCACACGCAAATTGCAAGCAAGAACATGCATAGTAAGAACTGCCCCCTTTGTAACCAAGGTAGCCATGCTCTCTGTGTTTCTCTTCACACTACACAGGTATGGATTATGGACAAAGAGGTCGGAATGGCAGATTTTCTTAATGCCAACTTTCGATCAGCAGCACTAGCTGTGTTGAGAAATCACCAGGTTGGTACCCTGTGTGTGTATGTGTGTGTGTGTGTGTGTGTCTGTCTGTGTGTCTGTCTGTCTGTCTGTGTGTCTGTGTGTTTGTCTGTGTCTGTCTGTTTATGTGTCTGCCTGTCTTTCTCTTGTTCCGTCGTTCTGTGCGTGTGTGTGTTTGTGTGTGTGTCTGTGTGTCTGTGTGTCTGTCTGCTTGTCTGTTTGTCTGCCTGTATGTGGCCGTGTATGTGTGTGTGTGTATGTGTATGTCTGTCTGTTTGTCTGTGTCCATATGTGCTATTTAGTTTTCCTAATTGTCTGAACTGTGGGGTATTTGACTCTATAATTGTTGACTCATTTGTGAGCACAGAGTGATTTGTTGTTTTATCCCGAGCAATTAAAATTGCTTTCTCCTTTTGCCGATACGTTGTTTTCCTTGCAATAACTTAATTATCTGAAAAAAATGTGTGGTTTCTTGTCTTCTGCCATGCTTGTTTCTGCTGCTTGTTTTATGAACCCCAGTTTGCGGAGGGATTCGGCTTGTCAATGATTGCTCTTGATACAAACAACGATGGGTAAGGCAATAATGTGTTTGATCGACACATTGTGCTGTGTGTGATGTGCACTGTTGTTATGTGTACTGTTGCCGTGGACACTGTTGTCATGTGTACTGTGGTCATGGGCACTGTTGTCATGGGTGCTGTTGTCATGTGTATTGCTCAGAATCTCGGAGTTACTGGTTGGTGCACCATATTACATGGACTACAGTAGGTCAAATGAAGCTAACGCTTACGATTTTGGTCGTGTCTACGTCTACTCCGGCAGACTGCACGCGGTGAGTGGTGCACTGGTGCGCTTTTAAATATGTCAACACGGATTTAGGTGACCGAAATTTGTGTGCATGTAGCAAGAAGGAGCCACGGGTGTTTGTCATCCCCGGTCGCCTAAGGGCCCGGTCACTCATGCACTCAAAAGTAGCGGATCCGCTGAAGCGACGTCGCAGGACCGAAAAATGCCATGGCAACGGCGAAAAGCGGAACTTCCGCTCCAGCGGAAACTCAAATCCGCTGCCTCCAAAATTTTGGGAGCGGAACTCTCGCTTCTGCGGTTTCGCTTCAGCGGAAAACACCGCGGTCTGCTGTCTATGGACTTGCTACGAGAAATTTGTATGCGTATGATGTCCATGCAACAAAAATGCGTGCAAGATAGTCATTGACCTCGCCTATTCTCCGTACCACTTTACTCTCATTTTCCGCCAAAGTAGGAGTTTGCCCTGTTTGTATGTGTGACCATACACACATGGTTTCGCTGGAGCGACACCAGGCTCTCTGCCGCAGAACCTCGACCCCGAAGCGAACCCCAGTGCAAGTGTGGCCGGGCCCTTATCGGCAGGGCACTGTCCCAGGAAGACGGGGGTGCTGTGGTTTAGAACCCCGCTCGTGGATCCTTCTTTTGTAGCATGCTCACACTTCGACAGATTATGCTTATCTCATCACCTAGACAACGGCGACAACACTTTCCGAATCCGTTCTCAACCCATTCTCGTCATACACACATGCGCATGAGGCAAAGAAAGTCAATCCAATTCCTTACACAGTCATCCCCGTGAAACACAACCTCGCTTGTACATCAACTCTCGAATAACGAGAGAGAGAGAGAAAAGGCACTGTCTTAAGACAACAGACATTGCTGTAATTCAGTAGTCGCGTCTGGAGTTGCGGGAACTTTCATGCACAAGCCGCACGCACACACACGTACCGCACGCACACACACACACACACACACACACACACACACACACACACACACACACACACACACACACACACACACACACACACACACACACACACACACACATACACACACACACATACACACACACACACACACATACACACACACACACACACACACACATACACACACACACACACACATACACACACACATACACACACACACATACACACACACACACACACACACACATGCACATGTACCAGACACCCACATACACACCCACACGCGCATGCACACACGTAAATAGCACACATGTACACACCACACACACACACACACACACACGCACACACACGCACAAACGTTCATGTACGTACCCATGCACACACACACACACACACACACACACACACACACACACACACACACACACACACACACACACACACACACACATATGTACACACACACCTCATATATGCCTGTGCTTCTGTGAATGTGTTTGTTTGCAGTTTTTGCAAGGTCGTTCTCCCGGCCTAGAATTGGGCTTCAACAACGACGATTTAAATTTCTTGAAAGAATCTGATCTTGTATTTGCTGGCGAGCCAGGTGCCCGGTTTGGCTTTGCAATGGCATCAGTTGGTGATGTAGATCGTGATGGTTACTCTGGTAAGTAGGCACTTGTGTAAATGCAATGCAGGTGCAGCACTGCTTGTGCATGTAGCACGGTTCATGATATCACTTTCTGCAGCTTGATGTACACCATGCAATACTTTCCACAGGAAGGTGCTCGTTGCGCGTTGCCGCAAACAGTCGCAAGGCTGTTGCTGCAGGCCTTTCTATTTCTTCCGATTCACATCACACGTAAATGGAATAAAGTTGTGAAACAGATTCACAGCGGGTGCACACACGACTGCTTGAAGGTGTCGCGCCAAACCAAATACTTTTGTACTGTCTGTCGTAGTCACAGTTCATTGCACGTCGCAACTCGCATCGCAAAAAGGAAAGTACATGTAGTATTGTGATTTTAACCTTTAGATGTGCGACTGGTTTATGTTCGTGTGCGTGTGTGTGTGTGTGTGTGTGTGTGTGTGCGTGCGTGTGTGTGTGTGTGTGTGCGTGTGTGTGTGTGTGTGTGTGTGTGTGTGTGTGTGTATATGTATATGTATGTAGATGTAGCCATCGGAGCTCCTGGTGAGACAGTGAATGGTGTGTTTGGAGTAGGTGCGGTATACCTCTATCTCGGATCAGCTATTGGTTTAGAACGGAAAGCTGCACAGCGTATTGTACCAACAACTACCGCATCCAGATCATTTGGATACTCGCTATCCTATGGATGGGATATTGACTCCAATGGCTATAACGGTAAGGACTTAGGTACTGTGTTTATCCAGTGATTGCTTGGTTGGTCATTTTGAGCCAGGGCTGCTTGCTTGGTTGGTCATTTTGAGCCAGGGTTGCTTGCTTGCTTGATCATTTTGAGCTGTTTGGTAAAGATATTTCTCTAATTCTGACAGATCAGATCTAACTAAAGAAAAGAGTTCTGACAAAGGTCAAAGTCCATTGTCAAAGGTCAAAGTCCGTTGACAAAGGTCAAAGTTCGCTGACAAAGGTCAAAGTCCACTGTCACAGGTAAAAGTCCGCTGATAAAGTCAAAAGTGGAAGTCTCCTGGCAAACTCTGCCAGTAAAGGTCTCACTACCTGCCACATAGCCCACTCAGCCGGTTCACTGCAACATTACGATGCTAGCATTATGTGTAGATAGTGCATGGTGCAGTTACACATTACCGTATTGCTCAATGAAATGCGATCGTGTGAGTCTGGTATGCTCCGGGCGCTGTGCAGCCCCAGACCTGCAAACCCTGGGATGTGAACTGGTGCAGGGGGCACACTTGACTCACTGCACCTCACTGTGTATTCTGAGCACTTCGATCTTGGTATTAGCTGCTGGCCTTGACCTTTCATTCCCTTCAGTTCACTCCAATGGCTGCATGGTTTTCAGTCTTGTTGTGTAACGTTTGCTTGACTGTGTTTGACAGATATTGGTGTCGGTGCTGCTCTCTCATCTGATGCCTACATCTACCGGTAAATACATTCAATCTCGGGACAGTAGTGTTCTGCTGTACATATCTGCTGTACATATCTGCTGTATCAGCCTGTATGGTAGGGAATGGTATTACCACAGGGGCATAGCTGGTCCCCCTTATAGAGGGGGGGGGGGGAGGGGTGCACGAGCGCATATTTGTAGAATGGGTGCTGCATGTCATTCATAGTCATTATAAGCATCCTGAACCTAGGTCGAAAAAACTGGGGGGTGGGGGGGGGGGGGCTAGGCGCCTGGGTATAGTATCTCTAAGCTATGTCTTGTTTGAAAGCCTGGTTTTTCAAGATGGTCTGTTGGCACAAATACCTGGTTCTCGTGTCCACGTACATAGAACTAGTGTAGTACCTGTACTGGGACCCTGGGTTGAAACTGAGAAGCTTTCACGCAACGTAAACCTGAACTTCACTTGGCTTTGACAGTGATGTGACCAGCTTTATACACTTGACATCACAGGCATGCAAGCTACGCTGTGTTACGGAAGACTGTGTGTGCAGACACTGTGACCCTGTGACACTGTGACCCTGTGACACTGTGACCCCGTGACCCTATGACCCTATGACCCTATGACCCTGTGACACTGTAAAGCATGTTGTACCATCTTCTGATCGCCATGCACTACAGGTCTCGACCCGTCATCTCCGTGACTTTGGAGCTGAAGAGCATTCCGGCATTGGACGCTACCAACCGTACTTGCTTCGTTCCGGCTATCAATGCTTGGCGTGCATGGTTAGTTTTACAGTACTGCGTTGCCTGAGTGCGTATACTGTAATTTAGTCTGTTCTTGCATGATGATATTCGGTGGGCTTCTCTACTATACCTGTAGTTTTGAGTTTACATGACCAAGCATTTGACTTTGTGTGTGTGTGTGTGTGTGTGTGTGTGTGTGTGTGTGTGTGTGTGTGTGCGTATTTGTGTGTGTGCATCTGTGTGTTTGTGTGCGTGCGTGTGTGTATGTGTGTTTGTGTGCGTGCGTGTGTGTATGTGTGTGTGCGTGTGCGTGCGTGCGTGTGTGTGTGTGTGTGTGTGTGTGTGTGTGTGTGTGTGTGTGCGCGTGCGTGCATGCGTGTGGATGCATGCACGCATGTGTGCATGGTCATGCTTTACGTGGTGCAGTTTTGACATTGACGTTTGTGGCAGATATTCCCGTCCTATCCTAGCCACCAGAGTCGGTAAGTGTACAACACTATTTCGTTGTTATGGAGAGGATGGTGAAGTGTCTTTTATCTACTGCATTTTCCGGAGTATAAGCCGCACTTTGAATACCCGAAATTCACCCCAAAAAAGGGGGTGCGGCTTATACTCCGATGAT